CCCCTTGCATTTTACACAGCTTTTCATTTTGGGCTCCAAGAGTGTGGGTCAGGTGGGTGGTATAAAGACACCCCCCAGCTCGCAGCAGCCCTCATTCAGGCTAGGACGAGCTGGGGGCTGCTGCAGCTGATACCGTGTGCTGTATCCACTGCTAGGCTGCCTGCATGCATACTAGGACTCGGACTGAGGTCGGATGGGGTTGCTGCGGCCCTTTACTGCTGAGCTGTTAGTTGTATGCTCCAGGAAGCCAACTCAAGGTCAGGTCGGTCTGCATGCAGCCATGTGCTCCCAAGTGGGCAGGGGGGTAGGGCCCAGGCCAGCCCCAACCCAAGCCACACTTTTGTCTGGGAGGAGGATGTGGGAGCGGCCGTGGGTCCTCACTGCCAGTCTGCCAAGGAACTCAGGATGCTGTCCTTGGGGGGCTGGCCTGGCCATGTGCTCTGCCTGTTGGTGTCCATCCTTTCCCTGAAGATGTGGGCGACCATGAGGAGAGGGGTGGTAATTCATCATCCCCAGGCCCACTGTGCTGTTCGGAGCCGGTGGCCTGGGGAAGCCAAAGTGCTTCATTCCTTCCTCTGTCTATGGAGAAGGGGGCTGGTGGCAAGAAGACCAGAGCCCCTTCCCTAGCGGGCCAGCCAGACTCCTGATCGCCCCTTCCAGAGCGCATGAGAGGCACCCTATCTCCCAAGTGCTCTGAGCCCAGTTCAGCACGCACATGGCCACCTGGCGCTGTACCTCCACTCCCCACCCCAATGCCACCTGCTTGGCAGAGAAGCCCTCGTGTGGCGCAGGCCCCTCCACGTCACTGTCCAGGAAGCACTCTAGGGCTGGGGCCAGTTGTGGGCATTGTGCTCATCCTCTCTGTCATCTGACTTGTCCCCAAGCTCCAGCTTGAAGCAAAGAAGGGGGGGGGGTTAAATCCCTGGGCCCGTGCTGCAGCTGTGCTGTGAGCCATTGCCCGCCCCATCAGAACCCGGTGTGTGTGCGTGTGTATGAGAGAGTATGTGAGAGAAATTCCTGGAGATTTAGGGGTGGAGCTTGGGAAGTGATATCACTTGACCTTTGACCTGAAAGTGACAGCACATGAAATACCACCACAAAAGTCTCCTGACTCCAACCCTAAAGTCCTCAGATATTTCCCAAGTCAGACCTGGCAACTCTATAGGGAGAGCTTTGTTTTCCCGCCGTTTTCTTCCCGCGCGGGCGATCAATTTTTTTTAAAGTCCGATTTATAGTTCGATATACCAGAACTCCAAACGATCTCAATAGCGATCCCATTGGAGTTTGAAGTTCTGGTATAGCGTTATATCAATATATCGCTATAAATCGAACGTTCAAAAAAAAAAAAAAGCCTGCACGGCCGAAAAAAGGCGGGAAAGAAGCGTATCGGAACCGGGAGAGGGAACGGGAGACTACTCTGAAGCGGTTTACAGGTAAAACACTTCCGTCCCAGTTCCTAAACGGAACAGAGGCTTCTGTGTCTGAAATGGCAGTTACATCCCGGTAGGGAACCGATTCTCAACCGGGTTCTGTCTGAAATGACAGACCAGAACCCGGTTGAAAACCGGTTCCCTACCGGGAGATATCGCCTGTCTGAAATTCCTCGAAATCTTCATTTAGCCTCATTCAGTTGTATGCAGTGTCCACTGGGTGACTTTGGGCCAATCAGTTTTTCTCATCCTCAGTTATCTCTCAAAGGTGTTGTGGTAGGGCTGCCAAGTCCCCCCGGGGGGCAGAAACCCCCCCGCCCCAGAGGCCTGTTCCCTGACGCTGGGGAATCGGGCCCCGGGGGGAACCCCGCCCCAGCGTGCACTTCACAGGGAAGTGACGTTATGATGCCGGGCATGCTGGGGGCGGGGCCACGGCCATACAAGGGAAAACTCTATGGTTTTCCCTTGTATGGTCGTGGCCCCGCCCTCAGCGTGCCCGGCGTCATGACGTCACTTCCCTGTGACGTGCATGCAGCGCGCGCCAGGATCTGCACGGGAGTCCCCCACTGGCAGGGTAAGTGCCACTTGGCAACCCTATGTTGTGGTGATAAAATGGTGGGAAGAACCCTGTACTCTTTTATGAGTTCCTTGGAAGAGGGGCAGGATAAAAATTGATAGGGATGCAAGTGTTGCGCACAAAGAGAATTCTTGATGTTTTTACCCAGTTGCACCTCTTTTCCTGTGTTCCATACAAGTGAGCATATTTGTGTGGAATGAAATAGGCTATGGTCTAGAAAACCTAGGGCACTGGGGAAATCAGTGCTCTTTCACCTCAGACAATATTTCTCACAAGTTTGGGTTAAGGTGGGGCAAATTCTATGTGCTCTACAGGATTTCCCAGTTTATCTGGGAGTTGTTGCTTTTTCTAGGTAGCTGCCTGTAGTACTGTTGTACATTGTGTTGGACTAGGCCTGGTGAGGCCTAGGGTTGCCAGTCCCCAGGTGGGGCCTGGGGATTTTCCACTTTTACAACTGATCTCCAGCTGACAGAGATCAGCTTCCCTGGAGAAAATGGTTGCTTTGAAGAGTGGACTCTATGGCATTTTACCATGTTAACGCCCCTCCCCTCCCCAAACCCCTCCCTCTCCTGGATCCACCTCCAAAGTCTCCAGGTATTTTCCAGCCCAGACCTAGCAACCCTAGTGAGACCTCCTATTATTACTGCCAACTATGGGTAGACTGTGCTGGAAATTTTCAAGAACTGCATAGTAAGTAAAAGGGTTTTCTGATTAAAAACGTTAATACTTGGGAATGTGGGAAGATTATGGCCTATGAAGGTGAGAAATTGTTTAATGGACAGACAGGGCAGAGTTTCAGGGCAAAACATATGTAACAAATAATAGAGGTAAAACCCACATGGTGATACATATAGCTACCCAACATCACTACAATGTTTTCCCTAGAAATTATGTCATAGCACAGATAGGGTTGCCAACCCTCCCTCAGTGGAGGCGGGTTCCCCCCATTGCTAGGTCCCCATCACCCCACCATTGATCATCTGGCCAGTGGGGGGAAACGTATGAAAAAGAGAGAGATCTATCCAACATGCATTGACGTATGTCATTGCCCACATGATCCAGAAGTGACGTCATCACATCTGGGTGACACTCTGGCATATGGGCAAAAACTCTATGGTAGAAGTCAGGGCTTTTTTTTCCGGAAAAAGAGGTGCCAGAACTCTCAAGAGAGAAATGAAGGCGAAACACATGGGATTCTTTGAAACAATATCATGAACTTTTAAACATTTTTTGAGAAGTTTGTTTCCACAAAGAGGTTCTGAAACTACTTCCCGTCGTGCCCCCCCCCCAAGCCCTGGTAGAAGTCAAATTTATCATAGAGTTTTTGCCCAAATACCAGAGTGTTTCCCCATCATCCTGGAAGTGATGAGGTTACTAGGTTACGTGGTCAGTGACATAGACACACTGGATGGGCCTCCCTACTGCTCCTGTTGAGTACCCCCATCCTCTGCTGAGGGGCCTTGCAACCTTAAGCACAGACAATGCTGATTTAAAAACATTTCTGCCACTTCTACTTGGAGTGGCTGAAAGCAAAAAGGGCTGCCAGTGGGATACCTTCTACCACAGTGGGAGGCCTTGAAGCCCTGCCCCTCATCCTGATATTTACCTTCTTCCCTTGGATATCTTAATAAGAAGGCTAAAACCTGAAACTTCAGGAGAAGCCTTCAGATTTGGCAACACTGTCAGGGTTAAAAAATAATGGAAATTGATAGGAGAGATATAGTAAGTGTGGCTAGAATACCAGCTATTTTACAGATGAAATGCTTTGTTGGAACAAAGCTTCGTGTTTGACCCTAATCAGTGCTCATGATGTGCAGTGCTAGTCAGGGCAGGAATAGGTTTGCAAAAAGTTGCTAAAGTCACAACGTACCTCAAGTAGTTAAATATCACCTGCATTTTTTCTAATGATCATTTTGAATGTGTTAAAAGTAGCAAATAAATAAACTGTAGGCATCTGGTATTAAAAATTGTATATAGATGTGGTTCATTAACGAAGGCTACATGTTGTATTGCGTCTTTTAAGTGGAAACATGACACAGACACTCTTTTATTGTAACAATCTGAGTATATGACAGAAGTTCAAAGCAGTCAGACATTTTGTACATATTGTTAGTATTTAGGTCTGAAAGTCTGTACTGAATATCTGCAGAGTTTAGGTGGTGCTGATTATTAATATAATTAATAAAAACAGTATAGGAGCAGGAGGAACGGTATGGGCATGTGATAGGAGATAGGACTGTAATTTTGGATTTTTATGGTTAAAGAAAAGAGTCTGGATATAGTCATACAAGTGATGTTTGTCTATTTCCAGGCATCTCTGAAACCATGGTGGCTAGAAATTCACATTAAAAAAGCAACAAAAGAAAGCATAAAATGTTCAAGATAGTGTGACATTTGTTAGATTTTGCAAAATGCCATGCATCATGGAAGTACCAGTCCTCTCTGTAGAAGAGGCAGTTTGGCATAACTGCTTGGTCTTTCTTTGGCAATTTAAAGCTCTTCTCTGTAGAATGTATAGAACTGGGACTAGTTTTGTGTGACTGTGGCATCCGTACCATGTTCAGGCCCAATTCTGTGACTATTGTCCTCTTCCTCCTCCACTTGTGTTATTTCCTAAGGTTTCTAAAGGCAATTAATTTTATTAAAAATATCAAGAACAGAGTAATCCATTTATGATTGTTATGGGAAAGACTGGCAGATCTGGCTGTGTTATTGCAAAAAAGTGCAGTGTGGCTCTAGTTGTGGTACTGCCTCCAGTGTGCTAGTGTCATTAATCAGGGCCCAATTAGTCTTGTCTGATTGACACACCAATTGTTGTAAAGATTGTTAAACAATTTTCTGGGAGGACTAAATTTCGCCCTGGCTTAATCCTGTAGCATAAAAGGCTGATGTTCTATATCCTACAGAGAAGGGATGCTCTTAAATTATTTCTTGAAGAGCTGAGAAGCCTGGCAAGTACTATGTTAAACATTAATTTGCTTTTTCCTTTGCAGAGACTTAGACAGAAACAACATTACAAGGATTACAAAGGTGGACTTTGCCGGGCTTAAGAATCTTCGTGTTCTGTGAGTATAAGAACATCTCTCCTTATATATAATTGAGTAGTGGGGTGGCACTCTCTGAACATTCCACATGCTCCTAAATCAGTTGGCTCCATGATGTATCACTCAGAAGCTGTCCCTATCCACTGGCTCGTTGCCTGAGTCTCACCTCCAATATTCTAAACAGTTTGCTGTTCCTCCCCCCCCC